CGTTGTTTGGTCTGTTGCTGGCATAGGCTCAGCATTGTCTGGACCCAAGACCCATATGACCTGCTTCTCTGAGCCCAGGACCAAGGCAACGGCCTCTCTCATCAGAATGGAGATACAGAGCAGGTTTAGCGTTTTAACACTTGCAAAATCACACAGAAATGCTATCCTGTGTCATTTAGGTCTTCTGCACCCTGTCATCACTTCAAGAATGTCCTGCAGGCTGGAATGGTGATGTGTTCTTTTGATCCATGCCAAGAACGGTCTTGGTAGTTCAGAGCTCTTGCGTGACTGCTCCCCGCCACAGGCCACAGGTATGCTCACGACTTACAGGTAATATTTCCTTATCTCATCAAAGAGCTCATTCAACCCACAGCTCAATGATAATCCAGAATACAATAGCTTATAAGTAGGAGAGAATTTCTTTCTAATTTACAAAGGGCAAAGACAACAATTTATCATAGCCTTTGTAAACAGTAATAGCTACCATTTGATGAATATCATGAGGCTGCAGTCATAGGATTGTGCCTTTTACCTGCATAATCTCAGGTCTTATTATAGCCACTAAGCTGGCCTTACCCATAAGCAAACGGAGGTGCAGTAAACTGACTCAGGTCACTGAGCCAGCAAGTGCAAGGGCAGAGATGTGAGCCCAAACCAAGTTCTTAGCCACATGACTATTTAGTCTGAACTGTAAACTGCCCACACTCAGTGTTGCTTCCCAAAGCACCATTACCCAGCATCCTTCATCATCCTGCTCATTCTATCCATTGCTTCTCACAATCCTTGCCTGAGCAAAGCTCATACTTAGTTCCAATTCCTAGAAAAGGAATGTATTGCCCAGTGGGTAATTCAGTTCCCTTGCAGTCTCTAGGTTCTTTCTAAAACTGCACATGACACTTCTTCACCATTCACAATTAATACCAAATACCTACAGTTATTATTTTGTCACTTAGAATCACCCAGGGACCACAAATGAGATGACTTATCATTGTGAAGGTAACACATCTTGCTCCCATCACTGGCTGCCTTCTTTATTCTTCAGAAAAACCAACCAACCAACCTTTTCACTTCTTGCCTGTGATTGCCTGCAACAGGGAGAAAGCAGCTTTGGGACTTTGCTGGACTTGTGGGATGTAGACCACTGCAGTCATAAGAGGCCAGGGCTACAAAGCTAAATGGGCAAAGGTTGACTGCAATGTAAAGACAACCAGGCACTCATTCTGTTGAGGGTAGCAGAGTGGAGGTGGGGTGCCACTTCTTACAGTCACTCGCTGTTTCCTTCCTCCTGCAATTATGTGACATTCACTGTGGAATCAGAGCAGAACTTTCCTGTCATCATCCTCATTTTTATTCTATTTATTGATTTATTTTTGAGATAGGGCCTTAGCATTTAGCCCAAGGTAGCCTGAAACTTAGAATCCAGCCCCAGACTGGTCTCAAAGTCTCAGTCGTCTTGACTCAGCATCCCCAGTGCTCAGACATCATACAAGGTTCCGCCCCAGCCCACCCACACCCAACTCATCACCCACTCTTTCCCAAAGACAGACGTTTGCAGATTAAAGAAATCCACGGAAGGAGCTAGGTGAGCTTCTGTTCCTCCAGCCAAATGCCTCTAGAG